ATTTGTGAATGCATTGTTTTATACTGTATTCAAATTCTAGAATGGGTCACTGAACTATTGTTGTGCTGTTATAGAATAAGAGAGAAATTGTAATGTAGGCTTTAAGAAGGCTTCATATTTGCACATAACTACTAGGGCGCCAACAAGCCCGTGCAGACATCGCAATATGCCTCAACAAGTCACAATATTGAGAAAGTGCTGTCAGAGATCTGTGCCAGTTAAAGCACCTTAGCTCTCTTGGCAGATTCATAACATTTATAACAAATATATATATATATATATATATATATATATATATATATATATAAATAAAATATATGTAAATACACGGTTTATGTTTTATATGTAAATTAAATCAATCTTAAGGGGCCATTCGGTTCTATGGCAGAGCGGTTCAAGGGATTTTTTTTTTTTGGTAGTATCAATACATAGCAGTGTTGAATTCTTTTCCACTATAGTGACTTGATGAATAACCTTGTTTTTATCTTAATTAGGTCAGTAGTTTGCTGAAAAACTGCAATTCGTGAAAAGTTAAACACAAACTTGTCCTTATACAATTACCTAATTGCATTACTTCAACAGTTTCACAGTCTCTTCCAACAATCTGACAGAGTCAAACAACTGGCCTTTAAAGATACAATGCTTAACTGTTGCTTAACTGGGCATTCATATACTAAGCAATTCCTGAGCATGGTGTGTGTAGGAATCCACAACAGCTGCCTAAAAATGAATAAAGTTCTATTAGAAAGCTCTGATTGCTTTGACTGAGCATATACATTGCTCTATCTTGGAAAGGAAAACCACCCCATAAATATACTGTCATGTGGTTTATGCTGTCATGTGTTCTATAGTGTCATGCTAACGGATAAATAATGCATACTTAACACAGTATCCATGGAAACCATCTTTGATGGGAAGTCAATCATGATATGCAAAGTTACTATAATTAATAACAATGTAATTATGAATGAGAACGAGACATTACTATCCAACTAAACACTAGAAAGCTTTTACAGAATTTAGAAAATCTACTCCAAGTAACTAGTGTAGAGAATAAAAAGGATTGCAGAAGGCAGTGTCGTTTTAACCCTTTGTGCACTCCCTGACTCCCAAATGATTTGGTGATGTGTATTTTTGTATCCAGTTACACGAATCAGGGTAATCTATACCAGTGCTTCACAATCTAGTCCTCAAGGAGCACCAAGAGTCACTGTTTTGTCGATATCCTCTTTGGAATTCAATCCTTAAATCCTGAATCATCGGTAATCCTGGAGGAATTGTTCGAGAAGCTCAGATCTGCACTACAAATAGGAGCATTTTATCAACTCGAATGTATTCCTGCAATCTGCATAATGTTATGTCTAAACACACTGCATATAATATAAGATGGCAATATGTTACTCTGCCACTTTAAATAGACCTTTTGACATGACGTTCTCAATTTTGGTGCTCTAGTAATTCTTTATGTCCTCAGACAACCTTAAAGAACACTTGCATCACTTTACTTTACCGTAACGCCAAACAAAACAGAAAGGCAGCAGGCTGTATTAGATTTGTTATTTCTCGTATTACGTTATGAATAGATCTAATGTGTCACATAAAATCTACAGTGTTAATTTGATGAAAAAAAATGAAAAAAATTAAAAAATATATATAGTTATATATTACTTCTTATGGTAGAGGCTGATCTGCATAAAAACAGGGGAAATGCATTGAAGAGCAATGCATTTCACCAACTGTATTGCATTCAGAGCATTCTACTTGACATGAGGCTTGTGCATACTGTCTCAGTTCTACAATGTATAAAGGCTCTATCAAACAAAAACACAACCAATCAGTAGCTTCCCAGCTGTTCTTGAGCTCACTACTACAATCCTCTGACAGGATTTGATTGGCTACCAATGGCGGAGGATCATGGGAGATGAAGTGCTCGATTTAAGAGGACCCTTGTCACTTTTCCCTATATGACCCAAATTTGTTGATTGTTTTATTTACTCAGTACCGTAAGACAGTGTGAAGCTTTTACAATGCATTAATAACAATAGCAATAATAATCTATAACTACCCGAACGATGTCCATGATAAAGCATATGTCTACTTTGAGAGACTGCCTACCCCTATTTATCTCACCTTATATGTCACCTTATCTCATCAACATATCCTACAAAATGGGTTTGCTTTTTTATTGAAGTGGGTTACTGACCTACTCAGAATGATATAATAGAATAAGACAAGTATGATGTCACTCTTTTAGTTCTTGAATAAAATAATCTAGGGATTGGACTTTGTCGCCTAATGGAACTGCAGCTCTATTTTGCACACACTCAACTAGCTAGAATTACAGTAAATTGCAGTTCACTACACAACCTTTTATGGTTTGTCATGGGGATTCCCACTAAGTGGGTTAACACAAAGGGAATAAAGAGAGATATTAGTGCCTAAGACTCTGATGATGTGATGCACATCCAATCTGTATCTTACCTAACTGAGCACAGATGAGCATAGTGAGATTGAATTTCACATAAAAAAAAAATAAGCCAAAATACACAAGGATGTTTTCGCATAGCAAAGGCATTGCAGTCAGTTAACCCAGGAGCCTATTCATGTAATGAGCACATCAAGAGACGGACTCAGGTGTTCACATTTCTGTGCATCCAAACGTATGATTAATATTAGCATACTGCTGCAGGTCAAACAATGCTGCTTGATAGGAAAATAAAAAAAAGAAAATAATAACTGCATGAATGTGTAATGAGTAGGTTGGCATCATAATATTAAAAACATAGCAGCCTCAAAATGATGTCTTAGCACAGACAGTTTTTTTTTAAAGTTTAAGGGGTGAAAAAACAGACTAGAATTTAATATAAAAGCATTTGCCATTAAATTACACTAAATTTATCCACTTCTAATCTGTTTCTTATTTTTATCAATGGAATAACATTTTGTATACGCATTGTACCTTTAAATTAACTCTACGGTGACTTGACACAGCAATGCTTTTTTCCCTTATTCCCTTTAACTTCTGGTTAATGGCATCAAATTCTAGATTATCTTTAGTCAAGCCACAATTCCATCTAAATGATAATATCCAGGACTAATATACACAAATACATGTATAAATTCTTATAAACACACACTCTACTCTCACTGTTACTTTAAAAAGAAAAACAAAATTGAGAAAGAAATAACCATTGAAATTTCATAATTTTTGTCAACATCATTAAATCTATGAATACTGATCCAGTAGTGAACCTGAAAAAAAGTGATTGCACAAAAGGCACTTACTAATATGAATGGTGTGGGGATACAGGCAAAGGCTTTTATGTACAGACTCATAGATAGAGGCTACAGACCATTACACTTGATAAGCTATCTAAAATATGAATGGTACAGGTGCAACTGTGTATATCATTCTATATATATATATATATATATATATATACTTGAATCATGTTATTTTTATCAGTCAGGAACAAACTTTATATGAAAAAATTAAAAAAAAATTAAGTTTTATGTTACAGTCCAATTTAACCCTTTCACTACCTATTAGGTGTCTAATTTATTTTTATTTTTTTTTTAAATAAAAAGCTCTGGCCACATGATCACCCCTTCTACAGCAGTCAGAAAGGTTATGAAACAGGTCCCTTGCAATACAATGGCAGTGCCAGCCTGCATCACTCACACTGGTCATGTTATTCTCCTGGTGGGAATGGTGTGAGCGATACAAATGGAATTTAAAAAAAAACTACTTGGTGGATTGACATTCATACCAAATGTTTACTCAGACAATGGGAAAGGAAATCTTAGAAGGGATACATACCTTTCTCCAAATTCTTCTTCAAAGAAATAAATGTACATACCAGTGGTTGCAGAATAGGGCTGCTTTTCTCATTTCCATTTTTATTCTCCCATCCTTCATTCAGCCATAACACGTTACAATACCATATGAAGCCACTTCACAGTGATTTGACTCAAGTGCAGTCAGGCATGTTGCTTATTCTGCAACGGTTATCTGATGTTCTAAATTCCACCGCCTTTCCCTGGATCCATCCAATACATAGTAGAACTTCTCTCTTAACACCGGCACGTCCTGCTATGTCTCTCTAGCTAGCTATCACTTGCTACTGAAATCATAAAACAAGAGTCAGATCCACGTTTTTTTGCTACCCAAAGAAATAAAATCGAAATAAATAAATAAATGATATATATTAAAAAAAAATCACGTTAAATACTGAGAATAACAGAAATCCCGGTGCTTTGTGAGATGCCAACTTCACACTGTTCCAGCTGCCTCTGTTTCTGAATGCAGCATTCACTGCAATAGCCACAGCCCGCCTGTGTTGAAAGCAGCCCCTCCGCTTCCCAGATCGAGTAAAAAAAAAAAAAAAAAAAAGGAGAGCTAGAGGAGGAGAAAGACAGGCTTAGTGAAAGTCTTTGCTTACAAACCCAGCACATGCGATGAGCTCTGAAAGCCAGCAGGTGCATCACTGCCCACAGCACTGATAGCAGTTGGAGGTACCGCCTCTAGGTTGTAAAGGAGATCTGGTTGCTAGGGCCATGTCTTGGCCAACCTTTCATTTATCACAATAACGTGACCAGCAATGACAACTGCACAGCCATCTCTTTCAGCAGACTCCTTTATTTCAATCTGGATGTTTCAATTGCGAAACTAACAAACATCTTGTTAATGGCAGACTGGGAAGTATGAAAAGCCCTAGAATCTCTGTCCAGAGTACTGAAGTTTGACATTTTGTCTTGTGTGATCCTCGACACACACACAGCCAGAGTACCACTTTCTTTCTATTGATGGAGCACACGTTACAAGCTTGCAAGGATACTCTGAAGGTTTTCAGACTGTAATCTATTTGATACCTTCCAGAGATGAGTTCAATGATACTTTAAATCATTTTAAATGAATGGAGTGATACATGAACAGAGAGAACAGCAGTCGAGTTATTTCACCAGCACTCAACTCATTTTTTTTGCTTGTTTTCAAAATGGTCATAAGGCATTATTTTAGATATTTATTTAAACATTTGTGCCACATGTACTTTTATTATTTATTGTGTTCAATTCTAGTAATCGTTTGATGTTTTGCATGCCTTTGGAATGCCTCTAGAATGACAAAGCATCATGGAAGCTGTTGGTTTAAAACATCTGGGGATCTACAGCTTGCTTTACGAGCTGAACCTCCCTCCCCCCCCCCCGTTTTTGCTAAACTTTTGCTATGCATAACAGGATCCTATTGACATGCTATTTGAGATGACTGCTATGCTTTCTGTTAACTGTATGTGGATACACGCATTATAGACACATGCCAATACGTTTGTTATTTTAACAAACCTTGTAATTTACAGTGATTACATAATTGATTTTTTTTTACCATCTTACACATTTCCCTGTAATGTATTCCTCTACTGGTAAACAATGTGTATCCTGTGTGTTCTTGCAACACATAAATGAGATATAATCCTATAATCCCATGCTTTGGTTTAAAAGCTGAATATTAACATCGGGTCATTGCTTAGGTAACCAATATAAATGTGGGCAGGGTTTGAAGAGTGACGCAATGAGCTAATATGGATATTATCAAACTGCATTCTGGGAGTGAAGTACAAAGATACAGAGTTCAGAATGGCATGTTTTTCATTTTTAAAGGTATCACTTTGACAATGTATTTTTTTAGTTAAGCTTTAACCCCTTAAGGACCAAACTTCTGGAATAAAATGGAATCATGACATGTCACACATGTCATGTGTCCTTAAGGGGGTTAACAAGAGGGGATAACACATTTATGCAAAACATATTGTTTAGGATTTTAAGAGCATAAAGGGGATATTCACTAAAAATTGAATTACAGTGAGGATTTCAAATTGTACACCAAAACAGCCCATTTGAAAAACTAAAAACCTGCAATTTAGGTATCATTTTAAGTGCATCTAAATCCCAGTTTAAAAAAAAAAAAAACAACAACAAAAAAAAAAAAACGGCTGTTTTTCAGAATAAACTGAATAAATCCTACAGCTATTTTTCTGATTAATAAGAGCTCTTCTGTTAAAATGGCAGTACACTATATAACTTCAAAGTAAAGTGCCAGTGTCATTATTAAAATCATTTTATGGAAATAGAAAAAAACAAAACGTTGAGCTTTCTTTGTGCTCCCATAATGATGTCATAGATTTAACCCTTCGAGTGTCAAATATGTGTTGCACACTTTGCAATGTGCTGGTCATGTCTCTGACACTCAAAGGATTAATGAATAAACAAGGAGAATCTGCCATTCCAGGCAGGCAAGTATGCATCTGTTCTCAATACAGCCCCCTGGTGGCAGGGTTCTGCAATGGACCAGGGCAGCACCTTATCAATAGCATGGCAGTCTGTGTGACAGGTTTGAAGAAATGCAGATAATTAACAAATGAAGATTTCAACAAATAATAATGTATAATGTGTTTATTTTTCTCATTAAAATAATGCTCATTTAAGTGCTTATTTCATCACAACCAACATATCGGTTTAACCAAGTATTAACCTAGTAATATAAACTATGGGTTTTATTAACAACATTCTAAATTGCTAATCTTGACAACATTTTACAAAAACAGTCTGCAAAATGTAGGCAAGAAGTGTTTATTTGGAAACGTTTTTGCAACCAGATCAGTGTGCCTGGCCCCCGGATTGGGTCCCAGACATGAACCCAATGCTGCATATTCTTTTGAAAAGTACATTTCTTTCCACACTGTGTTAACCCTTTGTGGTTCACAACAGTCTAGGAGTGTTCATCAGAATTAACCCTTTTAATGCTGGATATGGATTAAATCTTAAAACTGCAATTGCAGATTCTGCTTCACAGTGTCCATATTGGTTAACCCTTTATGTCAGTGGTTCCCAAACCAGTCCTCATGGCCCAGGTATCTATTTAAATTTTCTATTCTAGTGGAGATACTCACAAAACTGGGAATATTGGTGGGTTGAGGTCTGGTTGCAAAATTACTGCTTTAAGTGAACACAAATACTCCTGCCAATGTTGCACTGATTAACCCTTCCTTGGTTTCTTTTGTCCAATACCCACTAAGTCAACCCTTTTGGAGTTGAAATAGCCTTTTTCAAAACAAGGTGCCGATGGTCTCTGGGTAGCCAGCAACAATTTCTCTTTTAAAGCATCCATATTTGTTAACTCTTTATGAGCACACAAATACTCTTGTGGATAATACATTAATTAACACTTCATTGGGCTCACTAGTTTCACTCTTCTTAACCCTTTTTAAAGCTGGAAGGTACATTTCCATCACAGGGAGCCCTTAGTCTCAGGGTAAGTGGCTAGCTCTTAAGACTTTACGCTGCCACACAGTCTTTCCTTGGTAGGCGAAGGACAATGAGGAATAGGGGTGGCTGCGTTTGGACTGTGGTGGAGTAGGCTTTACCACTAGCCATTGAAAGGGAACAGGGAGCTTCTATTACAATTATCCAATTCAACTATAGACACCTCTTGGCTATTCCTGCCTACATTTTGCATTATGCACTTTGGAGTCTAGTAAATACATTATGTTGTCATTCACTGGTGAGTCTTTATTCTAGTATTTAATGATATTTTAATGCAGAACTGGAAGAGGTGACAGACAAAACTGATAACACCTGTTAAAAAAAGTACAAAAATAACACAGAATCGGCTCCCAAAAACAGAACTGTTTCATACTACTATGAGTAATAATCATTAGCTATGAAATAAATTAAATACAATGTAGAAACTGCTGTCACACAGGAAAAACACTGAATTCATTTTACAATATATGACGTATGTCACCTCAGCATATCTTGAAATCTTAACCTTGTATGGTACACATAAGTAAATCGTGACTCATGGGCTGTGCGCATTCAAAGAGATAAATAATGTGTTTTATACCCTGCCTCCTATAGACTGTAAGCTCATTTGAGCAGGGTCCTATTCAACCTATCATTCCTGTAAGCTTTCTTGTAATTGTCCTATTTATAGTTAAATCTCCCCTTTCATAATATTGTAAAGCACTACGGAATCTGTTGGCACTATATAAATGGCAATAATAATAGTTGTAATAAATCAAATCAAAACACAGTGCCATGCGAACATCATCGGGCCCTTAAGACATTTTCTCACTCTAAAACCAAAATTACTTTAGCTTATTTATGTGGTGTTAGTGTATAGCGCATGCCCATGCAGTCTCACTGTTCCCTTTTCTCCCTTTAATTTATTTCTGCAGTCATAGCACACATCCCTTGGCTGTCAATTATGGAGCCTTCCTATGCACTTCTTGAACCTCAACTTACATTCAGCACCAAAATGAGTATGTTTTTGGATTTGCAGGAGGATGGAATTCCTTATCTCCCTGCTCTGTTAATTGACAGCTAATGCTAATGCTAATGCTAAAAGCATTGCTCCCTGCCAGCAGACTCCCGTGTGAGATAATATAAGGATCTTACAGGATGACTGAATTCTTTCAAGCCTTCAGACTTCAACTGGATAGCACCCAGCTATTTTCATGTATATATTTTTAGAGCTTCTAAATGTGTTTTGGGATAATTAAATTGCTTGCCTTCGGTGTCTACAATGCTTTTCTTTGAAAAGTACAAAGAAGTCTGCACTTGCCAAAAGAGGGGGTAGATGCAGGAGCAAGTTCTGAAGCTATGAAAAGGCAGTTAGGAAGGGAATTTGCATAGATATTTCAATTAAAGAGACATCAACATTGTGCTAGATAACGCTTTAGAAAAAAATATATTGCTTGCTTAAGTATCCACATGCAGTGGATGCCCTATAGAAGTACCTTATCATTTGCCTCCACCTGTAAAAAGCCTAGTAACACATTTTCAAGATATAAACTTCACAGCTGAAGGATCAGTGACCCGGTTTTATGTCTAAAGCAAATGAAGACCAAAGTAGATTCAGAAAACATTAGACAGTAATACAGTTTGGCATATTAGGAAAGACATTCAAAATAATATACTTGAGTTTCGGTAACTAAGTGACCAGAGTTGTATCTGTAATCAGGAATGAAATGCTGAATCAAGTCACCCAGACACTGTCATGAAGGCCATCCCTCAAAATGCAGACAAGAAGACAGAAGGCAGAGGATTGAATTAACTTTGAAGGAGCTGCAAAATCCAGTGTCTGGTAGCAATTATACACCAGTCAATCATACAAGGCAGTGATGAATAACACTGACCTGTAAGGTGGCTGATAAGCAAGAGTTAACAAAATTGTAACATACATGAGCACATGTAGTTTAACAGATAACTTGAGAGTATCTTATCTGGAATATGGGGAAAAGTTTGTTAGAATATAATCACAATTTTTATATTGTCTAAAAATAAAAGATATAAATTAGAAGAAAAAAAAAAAGTACAAAAATACAGAACATGCAACCCATTGCCTATTTCTTAAGATACGCCATCCTTATATTGAAAAGCGTTGGGTCCTGTGATAATGCTTCAAATATACAGATCCTGAGAATGAAATTAATACTAAGGGAGGAATGGATGGAACAAAATACAGGAAAATACTAAAAATAATATTCTTTGTTATTTAACGCTTGGAAATCAATATGTATCTACCATGTCTCTAAAAATACTTCCGTCACTGTTAAAAATCCTTACTTTCAAAAGGTCAAGTTAAAAATGTTACTGTGTATGACAGTGACACTATAACGTTATCAAGTTGAAAAGAAAACAGTATTATTATGCCACATTCATTACATCATCAAATACGATGCTATACCGATGGGCGACACGATCCAACAAATACAAACTGCCCAGTAAAGCCTCTCCAACCAAGTCCACCTACTGGATGACAGGAGCCGACGCAAAAATATTAAGATCAGAGGGCTACTAGAGACCGTGCCACTAGAGGAACTACCCCACTATATTCGGCGCCTAGTGACTGAGGTACTGCCGACGAGACAGGCTAAAGCATTCATATTTGATGGAGCATACAGAATTTCCAAATCACCACAGGCCCCCAACGCAGCTCCACGGGACATTATACTCAGGTGTCAAACAATGTCAGACAAACTAGGGCTATTGACTGCACTACGAGGGAAGTCCCCCTTGGAATTTGAATCATGCCGACTCTCATTTTTACAAGCCTTAAGCAGGGCCACACTCCTATGGTGTAGGGACATGCAAACGGTTACCAAACCACTTCACGCAGCAGGGATAACCTACAAATGGGCGACTCCCAGAACCTTATGGGTGACTGTAAATGGAGAACAATATAAGGCAACGACACCCCAGGATGGCCAAACTATACTGGACATATTGAAAGTCATGAAATGGACCCCATCATCAGCTCCTTCCGCTTGATCCAGCGGTCCAGTATCAACCGTACAGATTTGTTCTACCTTACAATTTTGTTTAACTAGTTTATTTTATGTTTAGTTACGCTTTAGAAAATACAAACACACCCGCTTCCCACAGGCAGAGAGAAAACCCTCACAGGGTTGACCTTAACTGCTCTGGTGATGACCCCCCCCTTACCCCTAGGATATGGGGACATACTCATAGAGAGCCACCAATATCTAACCCACACCGAGTCACGACTAGAGCTATAGCGCGACATAGTTGTGCGCACCCACCTATGCTCTACTCTACCTAGGTTTAAAATAGATGTGCCTTTTAAACAGCGATGAACAATACCAAAACATTCCTATTATATCACGAGTACATATTTCGCCCTCAATGCCATCACTCGCTATGACATCCCAGAATGTTATGTTATGTTCTATGTTATGTTTTATCTTATTGTTTCACAACATGTCTCACACATAGAGAAGTTTCTCACTCTAACTAACCTCACTTCTAGGCAGCACACATACACTCCCCATTGGATCACAAAACCGATAGCACTAGGCTACTTCACCATGACTCGGCTTCTTCTGTTTACATGTACAAGTTTAACGAAGCGTACCAGGATCAAAGTTGACTCAAAGGCTATGCTGTACCTTGAATCATTATATAAAAGAAAAGTGCCAAATTTACTCATGCTACACCAATGTTTTATGCTGTTGTATACGAATGTGCCTGTCAAAGCTGTTGTGGCAATGCAGGCTCAGATGTACTTACATGCACGGCAAAAATAAAAATAAAAAAATAAAAATCATGATGCATAAAAAATAATTCTTCTGCAACCATGGAGAGCTAAGTAAAGAATGAGTCATTTGTCAGAATAATTCTAATTTCGTACAGGATATGGCATGACTTTAAAGGATTCTATAGTGCCAGGAAAACAAACCCATTTTCCTGGCACTATAGGTTCCTACAGTGCCCCCTCCCTCCCACACCCCCTCCCACGGTTCTAAAGAGGTTAAAACCCCTTCAGTCATTTACCTGAATCCAGGGCTGATGTCCCTCACCACTGGGTCAGGCTCTGCCCAC